GACAGCCTGACAGCACCTTTTGTACTCCTCCATCTAGTATCTAGTTATATAGTATCTGTGCGAATGCGAGTGACTGTTTGTATGTGTGCTTTTCAAGGGTGTTGGTTGACAGTTTCCGGTTATCCTGCGAGTATTTAAAATTGTACTTAAATTGACTTACACTTTTACTTTGTATTATTTTCATGCTTTTTTTAATAAACTTTTATACTGCGCACATTCTTATGCTTTCTTAACTCTTTTGAATACTCGTAGGGGGAATGACTGGTGATACTAGTCACATCTAGGTTAAGGGGAAGTTAAAGATATTATGGATATGATTGGAAAGTGGCTTTATTATTTTTGGGAGAAATTCCTTTGTGAAGTTGCTTGATCTGGTATTTATGATTTAAGGTATTCTTCTATTGATCCCAAAACTTAGTTATTTATTCCGGCATTTATCCTGTTAAAAGTACATCAAAGTTTACCTAGAGTTTTAGAGTAGTTTGCTTTAACTCAAATTATTATAAGGTTAAAATATTTCATAGCTTAAAGATTCTAAAGCAACTTATTATACCCGTTACTCGTAGAGTAAAAGGGTATACTAGATTCGTCGGAAAGTATGTAACAGGCAGAAGGAAGCGTTTCCGACCCCATAAAGTATATATATTCTTGATCAGGATCACTAGCCGAGTCGATCTAGCCATGTCCGTCTGTCCGTCTGTCCGTCTGTCCGTCTGACCGTCTGTCCGTCTGTCTGTCCGGATGAACGCTGAGATCTCGGAAACTATGGGAGCTAGGCTATTGAGATTTGGCGTACAGATTCCTGAGCTTCTTACGCTGCGCAAGTTTGTTTCAGTAGACTGCCACGCCCACTCTAACGCCCACAAACCGCCCAAAACTGAAACTCCTACAGTTTTGATGCTAGATAGAAAATTTTAACTGAAATGTATTGTTCTCATTAATACCTATCGATTGACCTAAAAAAAAGTTTGCCACGCCCACTTAAACGCCCACAAACCGCGAAAACATGTGACGCCCACAATTTGGATGCTAGATAAAAAATTTTAACTGAAATGTATTGGTGTCGTCAATACCTATCGATTGATCCAAAAATAAATTTGCCACGCCCACTCTAACGCCCATAACGCTTAAATCTGTCTACCGCCGGTAGGTGGCGCATTTTAATTTCGCTTTGCTGCTTGCATATCTCCATTTCCCTTTGAGTAACGGGTATCTGATAGTCGAGGTACTCGACTATAGCGTTCTTCCTTGTTTTTTAATTTCGTATTAATATAACAAAAATCAAATTGGTTGTGTGTATCCAAAACCTATGAAATTTTCACCAATCATCGTAATTTCAAGTTCTCGGAAAGGAAAAATTAAGGAAGGAGGCTTGGTAGCTAGCTTAGCTAGCCAGACAAATTATGAAAATTAGTTTTGCCCAATTAACGCCATTAAAGGAGTCCTCCCCGCAGGGAATAGTCTGCGCAAATCCATCTCCAGAGCCTCTCAATTTGCTAATTAAGTCGCCCTGCTCCCTCTGTAATCCCCAGAATATTCCCGGTCGCCATCAGAGGACCCATTCGTCGGGCAGCCGGAACGGACCTATGGTGCTCCGTATTCCGCACACCTTCATGGTGCACACATACGGAATACCCACGGTGTGCCAGCTGTGCAAGAAGCTGCTGAAGGGACTCTTCAAGCAGGGATTGCAGTGCCGCGACTGTCAGTACAACACGCACAAGAAGTGCATGGACAAGGTGCCCCACGACTGTACGGGCGAGGCTCAGCTCAGCCAGCTGCAAATTCAGGCTGGAGCCAGGGAGCGGGACAACTTCTTCCGCGAGGAGTTCGACGACAGCGATTGCGACGAGGGCAGCGACTATGGCAAGTACAAGTCGGCCACGTCGATGGGTGGTGTAAATCTTGTGGCCGGTCGACCCAGGGAAGCCCCCAAAGCCCTGACCAATGCCCACAATTCACCGCCCGAGTTGGTCAACGGAGGATTGGGAGACGATTCCAGTGGCGGTGGTGGTGAGACCAGTAAGTCCAGCAGTGATGGCCAGTCGGAGCAATCGCAGTCCTCAACCTCCTCGTCACCCAGTGCCAATATCCCGCTGATGAGGATCGTCCAGTCCGTCAAGCACACCAAGAAACGTGGCGGTCAAGCGCTCAAGGAGGGTTGGCTGGTACACTATACCTCGCTGGACAAGGCCGTCAAGCGATACTACTGGCGCTTGGACTCCAAGACCATCACACTCTTCGTCTCGGAACAGGGTAGCAAGTACCACAAGGAGCTGCCGCTGGCGGAGCTCCTGTCGATCGAGAGCCACCTGGGTGATCCCCGACCGGAGAGCAACTACTGCTTCGAGCTGCGCTTGCCCAATCTCAGCTACTTCGTCGGACAGGATCCGCAGGTGGGCGCCAAGGAGGAGCAGGCCGTCCGATTGCCTCCGCCGGACAGCGGCATCGGTAGCGACATCGCCAAGAGCTGGGAGACCAGCATCCGACAGGCCTTCATGCACGTCAACAACACGCGTGAGTACTGTGGTAACAGATCCCTTTAAAATGACTGTAAACGATACAGCAGGTGCATGTATAAAGTCGATTTAGACCATTGTTAATAATATTAAATTCAAACTAAATTCCCAAAAAACTAGACCCTTTTAAAATGACTGTAAACGATACAGCAGCTGCATGTATAAAGTCAATTGGGGGCATTGATAATAATATTTTAAAATTGATAATAAATTCCAAAAGCTGTTATGGAAACAGAAAGACCTTTAGATACTTTCTATAAGTTTTTTTACAGACTATTTAATAAAAGACTGCTGCTGTATCGTTTACAACCAGATTAATAAGTACCAATATGCATAGTATAATCAAATTCCCTCGCTTTACCCCTTCCAGAATGCTGCGAATCAGAGGAGCAAGTGCAGGACATGGGTCAGTTGTACCAGATCTTTCCGGATGAGGTCCTGGGCTCAGGACAATTTGGCGTGGTCTACGGTGGAGTCCACAAAAAGACGCAGCGTGAGGTGGCCATCAAGGTGATCGATAAGCTGCGCTTTCCCACCAAACAGGAGGCGCAGCTGAAGAACGAAGTGGCCATCCTGCAGAACATCTCGCACTGTGGTGTCGTCAATCTCGAGCGGATGTTCGAGACCCCTGAGAGGATTTTCGTGGTGATGGAGAAGCTCAAAGGCGACATGCTGGAGATGATCCTCTCGCATGCGAGGGGCCGGCTGAGCGAACGGGTGACGAAGTTCCTCATTACCCAGATCCTGATAGCCCTCAAGTACCTGCACTCGCAAAATATTGTCCACTGCGATCTGAAGCCCGAGAATGTCCTGCTCTCCTCGGACGCCGAATTTCCGCAGGTGAAGCTCTGTGACTTTGGCTACGCTCGGATCATTGGCGAGAAGTCCTTCCGGAGATCGGTGGTCGGCACTCCTGCCTATCTGGCCCCGGAAGTGCTGCGAAATAAGGGCTACAACAGATCGCTGGACATGTGGAGCGTGGGAGTCATCATCTACGTGAGCTTGAGCGGCACTTTCCCCTTCAACGAGGAGGAGGATATCAACGACCAGATTCAAAATGCGGCCTTCATGTATCCACCCAATCCTTGGAAGGAGATCTCCTCAAATGGTAAGTTCTTATTTGAACTCAAAGGTAGTAACGGTTTAAAAACATAAAATCAATGAGAAAGAAAGGTAACTTAATATAATGAAAAAAGAATACCATTTTTGGTTAAGTCCACGATAGTTCATGGAAATTTTGATAGTTTTTCCAAAAACAAGAAATTCTTCCTAATCAAGGTATCTTCTGAGGACCTATTTTGCATGGACCTGTAAAAACAGTTTATTTTAAGTATCTTAAATAAAAATATGAAGAAACATATATATATTTTTTATGTTAGTGTACATATTTATATTGCCCCCTTTTTCTTTCAGCCATCGACCTGATCAACAACCTGCTGCAGGTGAAGCAGCGCAAGCGGTACACGGTGGACAAGAGTCTGCTGCACTATTGGCTGCAGGACAAGCAGACGTACCGCGATCTCCGAACCCTGGAGACTCAGGTGGGTGGTGGGCGGTACCTGACCCACGAGGCGGATGACCTGCGCTGGGACTGCGCGGGCGACATGTGACCTGGCTGTGAACCCCACGCGATCCTCGAGAGCACCACCGAGATAATGGGCTGCACCACCACCACCTCCACCACCGAGAGCTATCGTCCATCTCCGGCGGATTGTGCCGGATGCCATCGACTATCGGATTGCGGCCACTCGCCCAAATCGGAGGCGATGAGCGACAGGGCCCTGAAATGGATGCGGTTCCATCTCTGCCGGCACATCAAATAGCAGTACAACCCTATTGCCTAGCCCATAAGTTTATCCCATCTCCTCTAACTCGCTTTTCGATAAACGCTAAACAACAATGAATTATTCTAACTTACCTACAACTCTGTGTGCTAAATTTTTCTCTAGAATCAAAATTAGTCGATAGCTTTAATTCGTTAACCACCTAAAGGCAACTCTTATGAATAACTACTTAATATACAAAAAAAAAAAAACAAAAAACCCAGAAGAAACTGTGAAGCTCAGTTCCAGTTTAGAACCAATGGCCATAAGGTATACAAGAAACACCAACCAAACGAATGGCAGAGAAAATATAGCTGAATAAATAACGCTTGACAATTAAGCGGTGCACCTAACTATTTTATTTACAGTCGAGGGCGGGAAAATAGGTAAGAAAAATGTAAGATTATCAGATGTTTGGGAATGTAACCAAAAAAATTTTTGAATAATTTCTACGTTATTTAGATATGATTGTTATTTCTGTAGAAATATATATTTACTACTGTAGTATGTAGACTTATATGTTATTTAAAGTCAAAGTTTGGTATTCTCAAAATATATTTTTCAGATTTTTTTAAGCTCAAATAACGAACAACAAATGTATTAAATTCCTAAGCAGTTCAAAAAAACTTTAAAATATTTCTTAAGACTTTTAATTTTTAAGTTATCTATTTTTTTACCCATTTCTGTTTATTTTGTCACCCACATGGATGCACTACGTTTTAACGTGCAAAACCGTATCCACAAATCACTGGCCTGCAACGGCTGACACCTTTCTCAGAAGACTTTATCCACACTTTCCAGCAGTTCTTTGCCAGCTAACCAACAGACAAGATGCTTTATTTTGTGGTTAAGTGTTTCTTTCTGGTGATTCTGCCCAGGATCAGTCAGCAGGGAAATGACTTTACCACACCCAGTGCCGCCTGGTTGGAATATCAGCGGGAAAGGTTTGGCATCAACAATCCTCTGATGATCAGCTCTACCAAGGCACCCACTGTAGGCGTAGTTGTGGTGACCCCAAAAGTGGAGACCACCTCCAGGAAACATTCTTCCAGTCCCCCCGAAAATGCAGGTCAGGAATCGGAGGAAGATGAGGAGACCACAGAGCAGCCAGCGGAAGAAGAGGAACTGGAACTGGCTCCCAGTATTCAAGGGTTCTTCAACTTCCTAAAAACAATGAAGAACACCTGGATAAAGAAATCAGGACTGACATTAGGAAAAAAGATAAAGCTCTTACAAAATCTACGAGATAATCTTATGCGATTAATAGGTAAGTTCAAATAAGACAACTGATTTTTTTAAATCTTTATATTAGATCTTACAAAGCTAAATTTTTTTGAACCGATTATAGAATGCTCAAAATTGTAAATGCAATATGTTTTAAAATTAAGTTTTAAAATAATTTTTTTTTTAACAGAGCAACAGTTTGCGGTTCTTTGGCAACCACCGGAGCGAAAAAGGCGACGTCGACGTGGTCTACTGGATGATTCAAATATAGATTTCCCGCCTGAGGCGGCAATCATGAGCATCAACTTCTTGACATTCGCCGTTTTCCTCATAAAACTGGTTATGGTACGTTGCACAAAGAATTACTTCTTGGAAATCACTAAAATATAATTAATAATTGCAGCAAGTGGTGAAGATTGTCAAAAGCAAGCATTACACACTTTCCGGTTTTACCTTCGTCCCAGAAGCTGTCAGACGTCCATAAAATATTTCATTGAATTTAAATCTATATTTCTAAAACTCAAATTTTAATGCTGAGATAAGAATAAATCTATTTGATATATTTTAATAATTTAGATAACATGTTTAATGTTCACTTTTTTATAGCAGAATAATGATGACAATTTTTTGAATATTTTCTTTTCATTAAGATTTATTTTCCATTGATAACTAACTCCAATTGACCGTTGATGATATATTTAAAAATCAAATCAAGTATCGATGACTATCGATAGATATGTACTCAACTCTCACAGCAATCAGCTTGTGTCTGTACTCACCTGTGAGCAGCTGTTTCACTTTCCACGTGCAACGTTTGAATTGTTTTTAAAATACCTCCGAATATAAATACAAGAAAATCCTTATAAAAATGGAAGATGAAGCAGAAGTAGAGACCGCGTGCTTTCACCAAAAGAAAGATATTCTGTCCACCCGAAGTAAGCAATGGAATACCTTTATATACCACAGACCTTTATATACCAAATTCCATCATCCATAGTGAAATTCCAGAATGGGTGCTTCTTGGGCAACGAGGAATATTACGCCGTTGAGAGCACTACGGATCGGAAAAGGAAGGCTGTGCTGGAGGCCGGTGACCATGTTTACACAGGTGACCTGCAGGATAGCCCGGATGTCGACTTCTATATCGCCGTGAGGAACAAGACCACCAACAAAGTTCAAATCGTCCCTGTGCAACAGGCACTGATGTCCAATCACATTTACAAGCAACTGGAGCGCGAGGGCAAAAAGATTCCCACGTTGAGCAAGGAGCACGCCAGCAAGAAGCTGCTCAAGGAGTTCGGCGGACGCAAGGCATCCCGATTCGTTGACAATCGTGAGCAGATGATGGTCAACGTGGATGTGGTGCGTCAGGATCTGGATGAAACAGTGAAGTCAGTTGCTCAGAACGAAGATGAGGACGAAGACACGCTGGCGGATGTGACCGTCAACAACGAGGAGTACCTGGCCAGCATTGTGCCCAAGTTCGACAAGGAGGCCACCGAGCTGGATGCGGTCTACGATGTGGAAAATGTGATCCCGAAAGACCTGCTTGATCGGCTGGACGAGGAGGCGAAGGTGGTGTTCTCGACGCCGGCCCAGACGCTCCCGTAAGTTATTTAATCCCAATAAAATGATATAGAGGTCTAAACATCTCTTCATTTCAGCATCAAATCGGAATACCTCAAGTCTTGTTTGGTTCGCATTCAAGAAAAACCAGTCAGCTCCAAGAAGGACTTCCTTCACATCAAGCTTATCATCTACATGGACGCCCTGCAGTCGCTGATTTCCCTTCGTTCGCGGCAAATGCAGGGTAAGGAACTCTCGAGAATCACGGAAAAGATCGAGAATGATATACGCCATCGCTTCGCGGATCCCAATGTGGCCAGGCGAGGAACACGCACAAATTTCAGCAGTGAAAAGGCACTCACACACTTCATTGTGTTGGCCCTGCTCATCAGCGAGAAGTACGAGGTGGACATTAACGTCCTGTCCCGCGCCTTGGCCACAAGCAAGGACCGAATCAAGCAGTACGCCCATATTGTGAACGCCCTGCCAAAATCCCGCTCGGATATCCTGGTCCTGCGCCTGCCCAGCAAAGTACCGGCACTTAAGTTGGGGCGTCGCTTCCAACGCAAGAAGTAGAGGGAGTATCTGCAAGGACACCGCGCCCGCCATCGATTTAACAAAACCCGGAGGCGGGTCAATAAAGTTTATTTAAGACAAGTACTGTATATAGCTATTTTGAGCCGGTCTTGGCTGTCGCTCTCTGAAAGGGCGGTCTTGATTCAAACGGAAGTATATTTCTTGGATGCCAGAGGATGGTAGTACCTTCATTATTGTTGTAAGTCAAATCTGTCCAATATTGACCACATTGGAGAGCTGTATATCGCCTCAATAACAGAAAGTAACAACCACTCGATACTAATAATCGATTTTAAGCAAATAGCTGCCATGGAAACTGGGAATTTCACCAGGATTATAAAATACTTAGGCAACCACCAAATTCATTACACTTTTTGACATTTTTATTTAGTTTTTAGATTGAAAATCAAGAATAACATTAGGCGCGCACACTGGCAACTAATAGTTGCTGGCAGCTGCTTGAAAACATTGTTTTCCGGCGTATTATCATAATTAATTTTGTCCTAGCAGCAGGATGGCCGATCAAAGTGGGTATGTGTGTAGTTCTGTGTAGAGTGTGTACGACGGCAATCTTGTTAATCCCTCCCCCTTATCAGTTAGTTGCTATTATTGATTCCCCAAGTCCCGGGTGATGCCCCGCGACGGGAGTCCTCCTTCAGTTCGAGTCCCGAATCCTTCTAGTATCCTCCGTAGGCTCCTCTCTACACGGCCAGTCCGAAGACCGAAACGATGCAGTACATGGTCTTGTTCTCCCAGCGCACAGTGCAGGATCCGTCGGTGTCATTGTTCCAGTAGCAGGAGCTGGCGGTGTGCAATCCCGCCCCGTTCTTCTGCATGATCATGGCGGTCACTATGTACTTGTAGGGCTTTTGCTCCTTGGTAAGGACCGTGAGGCAGTTCTCCACCACCTGGCCGGTCCAGTTGTTCACCTTGTCGTGCTGATAGGCATTGCCACCGATGGTCGTCTCGATGGCCTCCTTAATCGTCTTGCTCACGTCGTCCACAATAAACTGGCTTTCTTCGCGTGAGTCATCCATTTTCACAGCTTCGATTTAATTGTTCCGACAGCTGGTCAAAAATATAGTATTCTTGGGCTATGGTCCTTGTTGTTGTCCTTGTAGATGTGCGCGCGTTTTTGCGTTCGTCGGCGGCGTTTGGTCAGGCGAAATAAAATATGTCGGGAGTCTTTTTTTCGAAGGGATGTGCGAAGCCTACTTGGATTTTATTTGCCAGTATTTTCGGGGCGTCTTGGTGCGGGCAGACTGGGCGGGAACTTACCTGGAGAAACGGTCACATCGCGGGCGATTATAGCCACTGCACACCCCCGTTTTTTTTATCGAACTTCAAGTTTGTCTATATAATTTCAAATATTGCAATTTGACACTTATTTCTGAAACTAATCAAGTAAACTAGGCATTCTTTTCCGTCACTTTACTCATTGCAAAGGGAAATTCAAATTCAATTGAAGATTGAAAGGCTCTAGGCTTACTTTAACTGATAACCAGAGTATTATAAATATTATTTGGTAAAGTATTTTTCAACTAAAAATCGTACAAAGGCACATATATTTTGATTTTCTTTGCTTACTTTCAACTTTAGAATGTTAATTTAAGAAGGTAATATTTTAAGTTTAAAATTGAAATTGAACCTATTGAAAAACTCGGAAGAAACGATTTAGGTTGGTCTCCCTATTGCTTACATTTTATGTTGAATCTTTAACAATTTAGTTGTATTTTAAATATAATATATTCAACATATTTTTCACTTGACCGCAGTGGGGACGCACCATAATAGTGTGAGCAAATGAAAGCAGTGTTAAAAAACGGCAGAAACTAAAATCGTTATTGCGTTTCTTGAGATTTTTCCAGCATTAGACCACGGTCACTCTGGCAGAACTAACATAACGGAACGGACGCGTTCGAGGCGCAATAAAAACTGAAAATAATTAATTTATTCCATAACATTGCTGCGACACCACCTAATAAAAAACCGAAGCATATCAAGGCAGACAAATATCGCTATCAAATAGCATAATTCAAAGTGATTCGTGCGTGTAATTCGTTATGGAAAAGTGCCTTGGTGTGTGTGTGCGTGCGTATAATTAAACAAAAGTATTAAGCAAACGAAGTCGCATATTTTGCAATACGCGCTGCGAAATAATCGAGCAATAATTGTCGCAGCTGCGGGCGCACTTCCTTCTCCTGTTTCCTTTATTGTTTTTAATTCGGATTCGCGCTACTACAATTGCAGCTGCTGTTCAGCTATTTAGCGCGCGTGTGTGTGTGAGTGTTTGCTGGCCGCTGCTGCTGTTGTTGTTTTTGTTTTTGGCTCACCTCTCGTTTAACCACCTTGAATGTGAGAGCGAGAGGGAGAGAGAGGGAAGAAGAGTGCAAAGTTGATGCCCGCGAGTGTGCGCAAGCGTGTGTGTTTGTGTGTGACAACAAATTAACTGCGACTGTGTGCGTGCGGTCATTAGTCACTCTCTTTAACTTTTAACGTTTTTTGGTCCACCTTTTTTGGGCGCATCGCAAAAAGACAATACCAAAAACAACGAAAACAACCTACTAAGCCAGCTTTGCGGATCGGATTTTTTGAATCGAATCGGATCGGAACGAATCGGACATCGTCAAAAGGTTAGTTACCCTATCCCATCCTACCCGCAATTGATATTTAACCACATCACCCTGACAACTTTGCTTTTACTTCATTTTATTAGCCACATCCACTTCCGTTACCATTTCCATTGAAGTTTGCACAAGCTATTTGCTTAATTGAAATTCCAGTCAAGGTCGTATTTGTTAATTAATTAATGTTTGCTGGATGACTGGTGTGGCAAGAAGAAACTTTGCAGCTATTGTACAATACAAAAATATTGCATAAACCGATATGCTACGTTAGTCACGACTATTTACTGGCGCCATAGCGATAAGAAACGGGGTACAGTGACATTTATGGATGATAGACCCATTTTCTAATAGTATGCGTGGGGGAAATGTTATGATGTAGACTGCATAATGTTCCATACACAGAAAAAACAGCACTTAAAATATGATGTGTTTTTATGGAGAATCTTATTTTGATAATATAAAAACGGGTCTAGTTCCCACCCCAACCAAATACATTGTTAAATTATAGTAAAATAACATATATAATCATTTATTTTTGTCTTATAAATTGGTTTCATAAACTATGAAGCTCCTTCTCTTTGCGCACTTAAATAGAAACCCCAATTTCGGTTTCGTTTTGTCACTTTCGGGCGCAGCAGGTGTTGCATTTGCGCTTACCTCACTTTCCAGCTGACTGACTTTCGACCGATCCTCACATGACACGCATATAACATATGGCAGTAAAGCACCCCTCTTCTCTACGCCTCTGCTC